TTAGGCACGAGTTATAGCTGCCATATTAACTGAACGATCGGAGTAAAGTGCTTGCATGGAACATTTTTTTATTTGACGAGGTATCTTCACGAAATTAGGCACGAGTTATAGCTGCCATATTAACTGAACGATCGGAGTAAAGTGCTTGCATGGAACATTTTTTTATTTGACGAGGTATCTTCACGAAATTAGGCACGAGTTATTGCTTAAGGCAACAAATTATTCTCCACAGAAATTGGTCAGATCAGATCACTATATCATATAGCTGCCATACAAATTGAACGTTCGGAATCAAGTTCTTGTAAGGGGCCTTTGTTTTTGTGAAGGGTATTATAGCTTCGGCGCAACCGAAGTTAACGTTTTTTCTTGTTAACTTTTATATTCACAAAAACTTCACTAATATGTTTCTACACATTTATTTTATATTAAATAGTATAAAATAACATCAGTTCAATATTTAACTTTTACGCGAAAGAACTGAAGACACTCGAGTGCTGAACCGACCGTAAGACGGTTGGTATTGCAGATCGGCATAATCGGACACCTGCCACGCCCACAAAACGCCATTAATCGAAAACGAATAAATTGGTTATTGCAAGCTCCACAGTAAGATATAAGACTATTATTTGCTATAACGAATCACATTAGGGAGGGGCATCTGCAGTTTAAATTTTTTTTAAAAAGTGGGCATGGACTTACCCTCTGGTTAAATGACTAATTCAACATATCATCCCACACACATTCCACACCAACCCTACCACCACGATCACCCCACACATGCAGACACACCACACCGAAGGAGTTAAAAAGGGGACGGCGAGCGACCACAAGCCCCTTTTTTCGCTACATCATCGTAACGTCGCCATCTCCGCTACCGGCTGTTTTTAAAATCGCATCCATACTAGTTCTTACGAAAAAGTTGTGAACTTAGAAAAAAAATAAAGAAAATTTTATTTAAATTGAAAACTTAAAAAAAAGCGTGTTCATTACTAAAACAAGATAAGTAAAAGAAGTTGGTGAGTGATATCAGTGTGACATAGTTTAATCACCCTCTAATAGGCTTAATGAGCATATTTCCTTAACCGCTAAAGCTATTACAAATAAATTCTGTCAGGAGAAATCTTTTTTAGCAACCCTATCGACAGTGTGAAAGTCGGTGAAAACCCCGCCCACGGTTTTAGGAGCAGCATGGAACCAAAACTGTTCCAGCCCCAAATTACCGAATATGTGCACCCCAGTGCCTATATTTGACTTTTTACCGAAAATATTGGTCAATGTGTGAGATATACAATTGAAGTTGCAATAATGTAAAATGTGTTATTGTGTATAGCTCTTTACTAAGCAAGACTCCACTTAGTGTTGAATCTGCTGCACAATCCGACAGCCCTTATATAGTAGATCGTAAACAAAACTTCGCCACTCGAACATTCTGCCATCTACGAATATCGCTGTCTGTTGATTTCAGCAATTTTTCGTCGATTCTATTTAGTTCTGCCATTTATGTTCGCCACAATGCCCTACACTTAAGTCTGATCGTCCCGAGTACTCGGTAATTTGGGAGACAGCCGTTTCTTTCGTTGTGGGTTATATAACAATACCCAATCGCCTTCAATAAAATCCTCAGAGTTCATTGCGTTGTCGTATTTTGCTTTCATTTTATCGCTCATAATTTTGGTGCGCTGGCTCCCCATAGCATGTATGTCCCTTATCTCGTCTTCTAGAGTGCTGTTGACTTCTTTACCATTCCTTCCTACGTTGGCGTTAATTCCAACTTCAAATCAATCAGTAGCCGAATATCATTACCAAAATTACCCTTGCTGGAGTCTGTCCCGTTGTTTCATGTACAGCGGACCGATAAACCATCAGGAACAAATATATGGGTATCCCAATCTTTTTGATTTCATTGTCCACAACTTTTCTCGAATGTTCGGACATTCCAAATTAGAGGGACGGCGGGACATCGCAGTACTTAGCCGTTTCTTCAGAATTCTTTATTCCACTCAAAAACTCTGCCCTTTTTCGAGAGTTCATGGAGGCTGTTAGCTACGATGACAAAATTTGGAACGAATCGTCGATAACAAGTACTAAGTCCAAGGAAACTCCGCAATTCATGTTAATTTTTAGGACTGGGTCAATCTTTTACTGCCTCACAGACTATCTCAAACGTTGAAAGTCGACTTTTCTTTGTCTTCTTCGTTTACCTCCATTTTTCAAAGAGAGTGTTGAGAACCATTTTGTGCCTGATAATGAGTTCAGCGTGTCATCGATTCTAGGTAGTGGATAACTGCCTTTCTTCGTTACATCATTCAACCTTCTATAGTCCACACAGAACCTCATGTTGCTATCTTTCTTCTTCGCAAGTACTACAGGGGATCTCCATGGAATCACTGATGGTTCGATAACGACGCCTTTGCTCTTTTCACTTATGGTCTGGCTTACAACTTCACGTTTTGTTAGTGGAACGCTTCGAGGAAATTGGCGGATTGGCGTCACCTGTGTTAATAAAATATGGATGAGTATCAGAGAAGGAGTTGTTTAGCCTTATTTTGATGGTTTGCCTTTAGTTTCTTGGTCCATGCGATAATTTCGATCGATATGTAGTTTTCGTTCATGGAATCTTCTTCAATACATATTTCGCAATTTATTACGGCCTCAATCTCTTGACACTGCTGTAATATAGCTCCTTTGAAGAGCTTGATTGGAGACGAGCATTGAACATCTTGATTTTCTTCTATTATCGTAGTCTCTTCATCTAATTGCAATTGAAACACATATTCGTCAACATTAAAGTATTCTGCTTCCATCGCTTCTCGTAACCGCGATTGTAATTCGGACGCTGCTCCATTTGTTGCCAAACCACGTTGCTCCAGCTTCTCGGTAAATCGTTTACCTTGTAACTCACTCTTATATATATACATTTATCTTTATTTCTAATTCCAACAACTTAATACTTATTACTCGTTATTCGAATTTACAACTTATTGCTTATAGCTCAATTATCATCGATTCGATTTTGTTCGTACCAATATTATTTGTCCGATAAATTTCGGATACCTTGAAATACGTAAAAATCAGTTGTTCTCTTTTGTTTTCATTTGACCAACAATGTTCCCATTATCCAATTTGTATACACGATTTTTCACACATTTAGTTTTTTAGTTATAATTTTTCATAATGTTAAAGCTCAAAACTATATTCCAACTATTAAAAATCGTCTACCTATTTATAAATAAATGTATTCGACTGTAAATTTGAGTTAGTTTAAGAATATTTCAAATATATTCAAGTTTATTTCCTTATTACTACAAAATATCTAGATTGGCAACCCTGCGTTGCAAGAAAGCAATCAGCTCACACGTTTCTACGGGAAAAATCCAATTTTTGCGGATATACTACCGTTACGTCTGTAGAAGCGATGTTTAGCGATCATTTACATTGCGCTCTCATAAGATACATCAGTTGATTCGGCTTACGGTTTCGCGTCGGTGACTGTTTCCAGCAACAGGATATTTCTAAAATCAGCTGTTTTTTGTTATGGTAGAAATAGGCAGCACATTTACCCAGAGCATACCCATAATATACGTTCTCTGATTTATCAAACGATAAAATTCAGAGAGTGGTGTCACTACTAATTAGTAGAAATAAATTATTTGTACACGCATAACAAATGTAAAAATGTGCTTTCACGCAAGTTATTCAATAAATGTTTCTTTCCGTAGATTTATTTAAGATATTATGTTCTCGAGAAATTTGTTCGTTCCGGTTTATTTGTACATTTTACGATACCCAAATCAAGCGATCGAATAAAAAATTTGATAATTTTTAAACTAGTTTACTGGCACCGTTGGTTGTGAAACAAGCAACATTGTTTTCCAGCTGTTTTTATTTGGAATCATTGTGTTCAAGAACAAACAATTTATTATTTGTTCTTTTTCTTTTTCAAATGATGTTTTAACTCTGAATTTTACAAAATTATGAATCCGCTTCGAGGTAGTTTAGCAAGTATACCAGGCGCTTTGAGCTCCTTTATCAGTGAAAGTGCTTGCACTTTATTACAACATAATAGTTTGAATAATAGTGTTCCTGGGACCCAAGATGACGACGTTAGTTCTACTACGTCTCAAAGTGATAAATCATATCCCATACCATCGTCGCTAGTAAAAGAACAATGGCGATTAATCTTTACTTCCGACGCAAATGTCCAAGATTTGGAAGCTGCAATCGCCCATTGTCGTGATTTAGTTATGCTTTCGGATGAATGTAGTGAAGAACGACGTTGGTTAGTACGTCATTTAGTTGATTTACGTTACTCTCTAAAAGAGTTACAATCGGCAGAGTCTGATCCGTTGGAAATAGCTCCTCATGTAAAGACAGTTGTCGGCCATCACTTCAACGTTCAGCGAAGTGGGCATATTGGTGCACGTCAATATTGTGATCATTGTAGTGGCCTAATATGGAGAATGATTCAAGCATGTTACGTGTGTACAGACTGCAATTTTATAGCTCATCAAAAGTGTGTGGACAGTGTAATACGAATATGTGCGCATATAATAGCGGCAGAACGGCGCTACCCTATCAACGAAATATGCCCAGAAATTGGCCTGGCGGCGCAGAGATATAAGTGTCCTGAATGTGGAATATTACTGAATTTTAGTAAGTCTTAAAACAAAGTCCAAAATCAATCATTGTAGAACAAACAAAAAAAATAATAACATAAAATAAAATTAAAATGCGGGTTAAAATATCGCTACAAGTATAAAGTAAATTTTTTCAACTGTATATTCCAAACGTAACTATTATTTTGTTAATTTTTATTTTTTATTTAGCTCTACCCAAGCCGATTAGCTGTTTTGGTTCAAATAAAACAGAGGGTAAACTCATTACTTTCTTATCTAGTAAACATTTTTTTGCACGGTTGTAACACAACATTTTATTGACATACTCCACTTATTTAAACGGCTTATTTGATTTAATGCTGCATATATCATATTAAATCTACATATAACCTTAACATTGAACTATCTCAAACTCTCTTTTTATGCTTTAATAGAAAACTCGTGGATTGAACCTCGTTTGTGCGATTACAGTGGGCTTTATTATTGTCCAAATTGTCATTGGAATGACTATAGTATCATACCAGCTCGGGTTGTTCACAATTGGGATTTTACACAATACAAAGTATCACGTTCATCGCTTCAGGAAATAAATCTATTTTACGAAAAACCTTTGATAAAGCTAGAGGAGGCTAATCCGAAATTATTTGTATTCTTGGAGAAACTGGGAAGTGTAAAGAAGTTGCGACAAAATTTATTCTACATGAGAAAATATTTGTTGGAATGCCGCTCAGCAACTGAGGAAAAGCTTCTGGATAAGCAAATAACTAATCACCTTAACAACGACAATGTTGGAGCTAATGAATCCCGACGCCATCTAATACAATCCACCGACTTTTATTCAATAAAAGATTTAGAGCTTATTGAAAAGGGTATTTTAGTTGATTATTTGCAAAAAGTGTTAAATGCTTTTGATCAGCATATACGGAATTGTGAACTGTGCCACGCCAAGGCTTACATATGTGAGATTTGCGACAATAATGAAGTGATATTCCCTTTCGATGATGGTTGTATTATGTGTAATAAATGTAATTCTATCTACCATCGCGTTTGCATGACCCGAAAAAATATGTCATGTCCGAAATGTATACGTTGGCAAGAGCGGAAAAATCATTTTGTTACTGAAAATTCTGAAGATATAAGTGATACGGACGATATTTAGTAGTTTAAGCTTTTAAAATTATATAATACGATTAACACTTCCTAACCACTACATATGTATAATTTTTTATTATATGTTTTATATATAATATATTGGTTTGTCCTGTATATTAATTTTGTATGTACATAACTATTTACATGTTCGATTGTTTTTTAATGTAAATAGAAAATATTAAAGTGAAATCTCTTTAAAATAATTAATGTATACTTTTTAATAGTTGTTTTAAGGTTTAAGTCACAAACATTTGGAAGCAAGTCTATTGCTATTTAAATAATTGATATCTTTATGATGTTATTGTAAAGTATAATATTCAGAAGCATCTACATAAAATTGAAAGCAAGGGACAGCGGACCATAAAAATATATATAATGACTGAACAGTTTTAATAAATGCCACATTACAAACTACAAAGATAGACTTCCCCTTCTGTCGGGAGCTCTCAATCAACTCTTGTTTTAGATTGCTAGACCGCTCTAGTGTCTTTCAATCAAAAGCGGCAGCCATCCACTTCTCCGAAGTGCGGCTTCTTCTAGGGAGTTATGCAACCATTCCGATTGCAGAACTGCTATATAGGTCTTGAGCTCGCTGACAATGATCTATGGGCTTCGCGCGAGCTTGGCAAGCGTTGGTCAGCAATCAGCACTTGTGGGGTAGCGAAAATCTTCTGGCCCAGAGTAGATCATAAAAAGTTCACTGAACTGTTATCTCTTAGCCAAGCTCATTTAGCCGCAATGATAGGCGTCCAAACTGGACACTGTCCCATTGGCACTCATGCGGTGAAGCTAAAGATTTTGAAGGACGCAACTTGTCAAAGTTGCAATGAGGAAGTTTAGATGGAAACATCTAGACACTTTCTGCTCCACTATCCAGCTTTTGTCAGACTAAACCTAAAGCATCTCGGTTGCCGTATATTTTACGAACCCGGCGAATTGGCTGGAATAGATATTAGCCGCTTCAATAAATTTGTAGCAAGCTCTAGACGTTTTGTATCCGACGGTCGTTTTGATCCATACTTAGGAGTTCTGGGCATCACAACGGACACGCGGCTATAGCAGTCCAAGTGGGATTATTCGTGGCCTCACGAGAAATCAGCATTTTTACCTAACTTAACCTAGCCTATTGTCTAAGCCAATAACGCTAGTTCCGAAGAAATTGTTAACATCGGGTCACTATAGCATATAGCTGCCATACAAACTGAACAATCGAAATCAAGTGCTTGTATTGAAAACTTTTTCATTTGACGAGGTATCTTTACGAAACTCCAAAGAAATTGTATAGATCGGATCACTATATAGTTGCCATATTAAGTAAACGATCGAAATAAAGTGCTTCATGGAAAACTTTTTCATTTGACGAGATAATTTCACAAAATTTGTAATGTAATTACTGAAGTAATTGCTCAGATCATATCACTGTAGCATATAACTGCCATAAAAACTGATCGATCGGAATCAAGTTCCTGTAAAGAACCTTTTGTATTTGTGAATGATACAATTATGTATTATAGCTTCCGAAGTTAAAGTTTTTTTTCGTTTTAATATTGAACACATATTATGTTCAGAAATATATAATATATATTTTTTATTAATGAATTGTTGTGACATAATTGAGGTATAAACTATCCTTTTATTTAATTAATAGAAAATTTGTAAGGTTTTAATTGATGTTGTCCGGTGAGCCGAGTTCTAAGCCGCCCTCTGGAATGGCAGTCATTCTTCTGCAACATTCAAAACAATATTTACAGGAAGACAGTAAGTGAAGATATTGATTAATTTTTGGCTACATTCGGTTATAAGGGATTGGACTCAGACGTTATCTTGTCAAGGGCTGTTCTCCTAGTATTATAATATTATTTAGATCAGTAGGTATAATTAAATAAAAAAATTTTAAAATAATAATATATACAATTTTCTGTCGATTGATTTTTGTTTTTACCCAAATTTGTTACCTTGAGCCTAATATATAGTCATAATCATAAAGATCTATATATTGATGAATTAATATAACAAACATCTCTTTATAAAAAATATGTACGAACATATTCATCGATTGGAAATGACTTGTTAGTTAACTGTATAATAAGGTACGTTATATTAAAATATTGAAATCAAAATACAACTTTAACTGAACGAATCTGAACATTTGATAACAAATATGAAAATAAGCTAACAAGGTGTGTTTGTAAGGTGTTAATCCAAGACATGAACCTCTGAAATTTTGCCTAAGAAAATTCAGTGTTATTTGAAAGACACCTTCTTTAAATCTTAAACAGAAAAAATACATATATTACCATACAATTATAGGGTATAAAGATATAAAAATATTTTTAAGTTTCTAAAAAATATGTAATATTAATATAGACTTATTTTGTGCTTGCATTTGATGTCTCATTCGGGGTAATTAAAGATAAAATCAGAGAACGTAAAATATATGCTTTACGTTCTCTGTAAATACCAAAGTAAAATTCGAAGGAAAATATTTTGGAGACTTTTTATACGTTCTCAGCAACTGTGTTCATTCTGCATACCTCTTTTTACAAGCAGTTAAAATGAATTTTCTGTGGTTTTCTAGTTTAACTTCCTGCCGTTAATAAAGCTTAATACCACTCCGAATATATTGATTTAGAATTCAAAACATTTATTATTGTAATTTACAATATGTAGTGTATACCTTTTAGCCGGCAAATAGTGCAAATTTTTGCAATTTTTAAAGTGCTTTTATTTTTTTCATTATTTATAAGTGGTGAATGCTCTAAACGAATTTTCTACATCTCACAAAATCTTTATTCATTTTATTTTTTATCAAGTGCTGCTATTGTATTATAGTGATTTCCATTCATTTCGTGAAATTGCATGATGATGTGGGAGAATTTTCTAATAACGGATCTTATAAAGATATTTTTTTTATTTTAAAGTGAGCACTGAATAATAAATGAAATTGCGAATAATTTCGCTTCATATTGGACTGTCTGAAGGAAGCAATTGCCCAGATGCGGTCAGGACAACACCAAACCACACACCTGTCGATAGTGACTTGCCAAAAGCTCTGGAAGATTAGTTTAACCAGCCCTGGCACCAAGGGTTCCTATAGCCTATGGCGAATAAATTTGCTGGTGAAAAATTCGCCTCAAGAAAATCTTGTGAAAATCGACTGTTCCAATTTTTTTCCCCCAAAAGGGACGGCGGTGTTTATGAGAATTGCATCATGAAATTACCATTATAATAACAAGTTATCGAATCGTGCATATTCGTCCTAAATCGGATAATTCTAAGTATGCTTAATAAAACCGTCAATTGAATGAAAAAATTATGGATGTCATAGGTCTAGTATCCATTACATAAAGTTGGGTTCTAAAAATTGAAGGAAATGAGGATTAAAATTCCAGTTAAGTTTGAATTAGAAAGGTTTGGGATTGTTGAATTAGGTTCTATTCGTTTTGCAATTACATACAGAGCGAGAAAATCTAAGTTAGGTTGATGATTTAAAGTTTCTTTTTTAATGTCGACAAGCTTAACTTATCATTATGTCTCTTTAAAAAACAACTCCATTATTAACTACGTCAGTTGAGGCTAATAAGTCAATTGTACTAATTGGTGACAACAAATATACCATACCCCACTCAAGATTGTTTAAAATGCCATCTGAACATTCCAGTTCAATGAGGGGAACTAAATTCAAAGCTAACAGTTCACCCCAGTTTTTTTTGCGCAACAGAAATGAAGATTTAAATACTCCACTGTCATTACTTATTGCAAAAAGGGTTACGTTAGATGATAATCCAGTATTCACTCGCAAAATAGGGGAGGATATGAAATATTTTCTCGTTTACAGCTAATCAGTTACTTTTCAAATTCTCGAAACAGCCAAATGCCTTTATTAATATATATATTATGAGAGCATTAAAGAGAATACTGTGATAAAGATGTAACATGTAAGCAGTAAGACTTCGTGAAAGGCTACCGTTGTGCGGTTCTAATAGTTATTAAAAGGCAAAGTTTGTATTGGTATTGAGAACCAAATTACGATCGAGAAAAGGAAATTTTCAACATTTCTCGGGTTTTTTCCTATCATCTGTAGAAAAGAATTAATTGTATGAACAACTCAAGCAGCTTTTCTGTTGCAACAGATGTTCTGACCAATCAATATCTATCAATATGGTTTGGTGACATTATCTAAGCACTTTCTTTTTGCCTGCTCTAATTTTCGGTGTTATGCGGAGACAGGGCCGGCCCGAGAAAATTTACCGTCTTAGGCAAACGCCAAATTTTCAGCCTCTTTTAAGCCTATTTTGCCTCAAAAACAAAATATATAACTTTTGAAAATTATTTAGATTATTTTATTAAAAAATAAACTGTAAATCCTGATTTACAGTGGTGTAATGTTATGAGCAATTTTTCTGCCAATTGCTTGTACTTCGTTGAATCAATCTGTTGCCTTTATATCCGTCAATCCACGGTGAGTTGGATTTCTAACTCTTTACAATGATCAAAAAGAGTTTGCAGCTGATCAATATTAAATACATAAAAATCAAAAAGTTTTAGTAACTTGTCATATCTTTCATTCATACTTGGTCGTATCTTTCATCGATTGAAGACAATTCAGTATCAATAACGCCAAATTAAAAATGAATTTTAAAATGTTCCTCAACATCGCGAATTGACTTATCTGCCTCCTCATAATTGAACTGTCTTCTCTATTTTCTCAAGAGAACTGGTGCTGTTTCTGATTCGAATCATCAACGCATACCAACGTACACCATACTACTACAACTGGTTACTACTGTTTGCGAATTAACATTACTCCGGTTGCTGTTTATATGCTGTTATTTGTATTAGAATGCTGAAAAATGAACTATGATTTTTGTATATTATATGCAAATGAAAAAAAAAGTAATTTTGTTATTTTTATTTAAATAAAATATAAAAAGGAAATAAGCAAATAAATAATATATGTAATGAAAACTAGCCAAATTGCCGCCCAAAAAGTCTTGCGCTCTAGGCAATTGCCTAACTTGCTTATATGGATGGGCTGGCCCTGTGAGGAGATGGAAGTGTTAAATTACGAAAGGCTTTTTGCTGCACCAAATTTATATTTAAAGAAGAGGAACGATTGTACGAAGAACTCTGCTAAAACACTTTATTAACTGCTTAAAGTCGATCGATCTCATTATGAATAAACAAGGAGTTAAGTTCATGTGTTAAGTGTAGATGATTAACTGTCACATAATCCCTGGAAGTTTTTTTTAATATAAAAATATAACTTAACATATATTTTAAATAAGCAAAATAGCTTTCGGAATAAATATTTGTACTTACTTCTTTATTAAATACTAGCTGACGAGCCGAACATCGTACCGCATGATGCACTACTTT